AAAAGCCAAAAAAAAAGAGTCAATTTCAAAGTTTTGTGACCGTTTTGGTCGCTGTACTTTGTTAGCCAAGAATTAGCGAGCCGTGCTGCTCGGCTTGTCATGTGGGCGAGTAGCTTGTCTTTGGACGAGCTCGAGTAGCCCATGGGCTGAACTTTTACGAGTTGGCAGGATCGTTCTGCCCTTTTACCACCTCTACGCGCATCCTTCCCATGCTACATGACAACGGTGGTGTCCCGATGCGAAGGGTCCTTAAGTCGCGACAATTAGGACCGGGCTGTAAATAAATAATAATAATAATAGAAGAGGAGAAAAACATGTCTATTGCTTTATATCTTTCTCCTTTCACTTTGGATCTATCATTTCTGGAGTCATGTTGAATGATTGATTTCACATGTCTTTCAGTACACATATTTATATATATTTTTCTCTTATGTCTTGTACTGAAGAATATCACCATACCTGTGTCAAAAAGTTACTGTGCAATAGAAAGATGAAGTTTGATTACTATTTCTGCTCAACTTGGCCATTGATTAGTCTCGTGTGCGTGGACTTACGGTGCCTTTTTCCACAAATGCACCAACTGCGAAAGAAAATATCAGATTTACTTACTTTACGTTACTGCCTTTCCATGGGACGATGTTTTCAACCTAATTAATGAAACGCTTTCTCTTCCTTAATTTTGTTCATATCCTCGGATTTTCGTTAAGCCCATGGTTGGAGCTCATTTTGCAACTTATTAATAGAAAAAAAAAATGACCGTTAGTTTTCTAAGTGGATCCTAGCTGTGAGACGAAAGTCAAAAAAAGGGGCTGATTTAACGATAATAAAATGCATTCTTCTAGCTTAAAAATGAGCTCCAAACAGGCTTTAAGTATTTAAGGAAGGACATGGCCTAGAGTGAAAGGCCCGCGTCAACTTTTAAGGGTTCGAGCTACTTTTTTTTTAATAAAATCAGTATTTTAAAATGAAACCCTAAATTTCAATATGGCTTGAGAGCCCAAAAAATTTAAACAAGTAATTCGATCCATTTTCTTACGAACATAACAGTTAGATTTCAGGATTGATATTCTCGAACAGCTACGTCATCTAAACATGAAAACGATATTACAAAAGTATGTAGATACAAATTATTTTGGCACTCAATTTATGCTTTTGCTGTTGCCGTCGTAGCACGCACAACACACACTAATTTGGATAAATTTTAGCCATAAATTAAACATATCAGCATGCATGATCGAGCTTGTGGAGTTGATGTAAAGAAATTAAGATGCCCACTCCCTAATTTAATAATATAATTCAGAAGAATATCCTTAAAGCAGCCAACTACAGCAGACCTTAATTTCTTATTTTACAATAATTAATGTCAAAAGGCAGATTTGGGATCGTTAGGTTCCATAATCCTGTCATTTCTGTGTTTTTATTATATTATATATTCAAAATATTATTAATTAATTGAAGAGGCACTAATTGAGAGACATATTTGAGTAAGCAGCGATCTTGAAATGACAACTTTTTGCTTCAAGAATTGCTCAAGATTCCATTTTTTTTAGGTCAAACAACATGGAATATATTCCTAGTTATTAATCTTAAACGTTAATATTATACTAATTACCTAATTGGATATTTGGAATCTTTTCTTAATATTCGAAAATAAGGTTCAAGGTTTTAAACATTGATCTTGCATCGGTTAAGTGCGTTCTTGATTGGATTTTTAGATTCTATTTTACCTTACAAGTGTGTTTGATGCACGTTAAAATGGAAAGAACGCATTTTTTTTTTTGCGATGTGATGGTGAATATGTGGTTGAAAAAAAAGGAAAAGTTATTGATGTGATGAAAAATATTATTTTATTTAAGAGTGTATGACTGAAAATGAGTAGAAGAATGAGAATGAAAATGAAAATGTGGTTCAAACATGGACTACATGATCAATTATTTGTATTATTTTTTTTTTTATTCAAAACGAAGGCAATTATTAAAGATATAAAATGATTTGTAGAATTTTGTGACTTTTCAATTCTTTTTCTCAAAAAATAAAAAAAAATGAATAATGCTTCAAGTAAAGATCAAAACGACGCATGGAGAACTGTACAACCAGAAGTAGCAATTCGAATAACACAAGTTACCGTAGATCTAAGAGTGCGTTTGATTGCAAGGGTGAAAAATTGGTGGAAAGAAAATATTTTACAGGGAAAAGATTTGCCTAGAAAATATTTTGTAAGGAAAATGATTTCAAATGTGTTTGATTGGTATAATTTTCCATCCGAAAATTTTTTTAATTTTCTATTCGTTTGGCTTTGTTTTACATGGAAATTGTCCATTAAAGTGATATTTTTTCCACAATTGGTTATAAAATTTGTAATTGATTATGATATTGGTTTCCATTGCCAAAAAAATAAAAATAAAATAAAAAATGGGAAGCAGCAGAAGGAAATCATTTTCACACCATTTTGATGGAAAAGTGATTTCCCCAAAAACAAGGAATTGCTCATCAAACAGGTTAATACCAAGAAAAAGGAATTCATTTTCCTACTTCCAAGGAAAATTAGGCCCTTCAAACGTGCCCTAATTATTTTACACAAATGTGTAGGCTGTCTCTCTGTAATCCAAAATGCCATGGACATATTAGGCATGACGAGTCTGTCATCTCAAAGCCTTTAAGGGTCCGTTTGATTGTAAGGGTGGAAAATGGGTGGAAAGAAAATATTTTACAGGGAAAAGATTTTCTTAGAAAATGTTTTCCTGGGAATTGTAATTAATTGTGTTTGATTGGTATAATTTTCTACCTGAAAAATGTTGAAAGTTTGCTGTCCGTTTGACTTCGTTTTTTTATAAAAATTGTCCATTAAAGTGATAATTTTTCTACCAATGCGTTTAGAATTTGTTCTAATTATCAAAAAGTAAAAAAAAAAAATTTAAACAATTAGAAAAAATTACCATATTCGTTTGACTTTGTTTTACATAGAAATTGTCAACAAAAATGAAAATTTTTTTTACAATAATTGATAGAATTGGTTGCCTTTGCATTTTCTATTCGTTTGGCTTTGTTTACATGAAAATTGTCCATTAAAGTGATATTTTTTTCCACAATTGGTTATAAAATTTGTAATTGATTATGATATTTGTTTCCATTGCCAAAAAAAAAAAAAAAAAAAAAGGGACGCAGCAAATGGAAATCATTTTCCCACCCCAAAAACAAGGAATTGCTCATCAAACAGGTCAATATCAAGAAAAAGGAATTCATTTTCCTACTTCCAAGGAAAATTAGGCCATTCAAACAGGCCCTAATTATTTTACACAAATGTGTAGGCTCTCTCTGTAATCCAAAATGCCATGGACATATCAGGCATGACGAGTCTGTCATCTCAAAGCCTTTAAATGTAAAAGACTAACGACCTATTTGGTTCAGTCAAAAAAAGCTAAATGAAATTTAATTAAAATCAATGATTACTTCATAAATTTTCAACTTTGTATTTCATCAATTTTTATCAAAATTACTAAAAATTTGATTTTTTTTTTCTAAACGGGGCTAAGTCACAATCCACAAGCAAAGCAATATTATTGTGTGTGATGTACAGTGCTGTGTTTGCGTGGGCGTCGAATACTAGTAACCATCTCATCAATGTCAGCTACTACAATTGTACAGTATAGCCTACTTAGAGGAATACTCCAACTCAGAACTATTGCATCATTCCACTGAATAGCAAGATTTTAGGATCTTTATGTTACTCATCATGGACCTGAAAACCATAATCAAGTACAATATAATAGCATGCCATTAACTTATTGCAAATTTTTTTGATTCCCTTTGATTATTTTTTTCTTCAATATCGTTCGACGTAGTTTAGAAATCTAACTTACCGACCGTGCCACATTTGGGATTAGAAGCCACGAAAGCAATACGTTACAAGAGGATATGCTCTAAGAAGCCATAAACTAGAAGAATGGACAAGTTAAGAGGGAGAAGATGGAAAAAGAAAGAAAGAAAAAGTAGTCATTAATTGAACGAATCATGCTACATGTACTGATTTTGTTTACATAATCCCTACCGACTACTCACAATAGGAGGGGTGAGAACCATATCTTGGGATTTTTTTATTCGCGCGAGGCAGTATGCATGTGAGAGGGGGTAAACAATTCGGTAGAGGGTATTATGTGTAACAGATTTATCCTAATTGAAATACCACTAGACACGAGAGAGATGCCATTATAAGTTTGTTATAAAGGAATGGGCATTGAAGGGGGCAAGGTTAGCTCTATTTGAGAACTTTGATGGTTTTGTTGAGGGGACAAAAGGCAGAAATTAGGGCAACAAATGGTGCTATATAGCATAAAAACAAGAAAATTCATGTATCCTTTCTTGAAAAACAAACACAACAATGAATGGAGACAAGGGAATTTTAGGAAACAAGAATGACACCTTAATCAATTAAGTAACTTCCATTAACCAACCACCAAGTATTTTTCATTTTCTTTCTAAAGTACTAAAAGTATTTTTCATTTTCTTTCTAAAGTACAAGATAAGACTGCATGATTAATCTAGAATTAGTTAAAAGAAAAGTGAAGAATTATCAGCACTAAAGAAGAAAGATTAACAGATCCACCAAAACAAAATGACAAACAACCTTCAAGAAGATAATGGTAATTAATCATATTTAATGGATTTAATGAGCCAAATAGCAATTGTTGCCTCCTGAAAGGCTGATAGAGGATCTAGTAATGAAATCTTAGATATATTTAATAAGATTATGCGAAGAAAATTGTAATAATATAAAGACCCCAGTAGCAGTATAAAAATAAAACATCCACTTTTAATTTCAGCACCCCAAGAAAACCACAGAAAGCAGGAGGAGGTGTTTGTGAGGCTTTGTTCAGCTGGGTTTCTGTTTTCTTCCAAAATTTTGCAACTTTTGCAGATTCATAGATGTTTCAATTAGGGTTAGGGTTTCTGATAGAGGAAGGTTTAGTTTAGGTATCATTAGGCTAAGATCTGTATCATTTTTAGTGCCAAGACGAGACTGAGAAAAGGAGTTGATTCTGCCATCCTAAGAAGCAAGAATCATTGAGAATATGAAGCTGATATCCCTCAGAAGGGTAATGAATTTTTAGGAGAAGCTTAGCTTGAGAAAGTGCAAAGGGGCTCAATGGAACATTGTTGAAATCTGAGCTTCTCAATATAACTTTCCATGATCTGAATCTTTCGTGCCTTTCTTTTCTGCTTTCTCCTTCTGCCGCCACGATATCAGCAATTTCTCTTCCGAACCATATCTGTTCCACCGTGAGCCGCTCGTGGCTAGTAGGTGGCAGGGTGGCTTCAAGGGAATCAAAAACCGCCGCGTAGTGCTCTAAAGCCTCCACAAATCTCTGCAAGAAAATTGGGTGGTTATGATTTGCTTCCCTTTCAGCCATGGTAAAAACCTTGGGTTTCATGGCTTTAATTCGATGTAAGAAAAGGTGAAGGCGGTCCTGGTCCTTGAGAAGGCGGTGAAGATAGTACACACAGTTGACTGCTAGGGTTTCATCAGGAAGGAGAAGAACCGCAGAGGCAACTGAAATGGGGTCTTCATTATTGAGGATGATAAGAGGGTGGAACTGAAATCTGAGGCCTAATGAGAGAGCAAACTTGGAGAGGCGGTCACCAGTTCTTCGAAGTACTTCAAGTTCACTTCCGGTGCCGGTGATCCTAAGCGTCGGTGGTGGAAAACGCTCTGCCATGGCCTGCATTAATGGAGGCCATTGCACGCCGTGCATGATATCAAAATCTAGGATGTGTATTGCTTGTTGGCCTTCAGTTGCTTCCAAGATTGCTTGATTTGCAGTGAGCTGACTGAACCTAATAAATGGGGTAACTTGGTTAAGTAACAAGTAAGAGGATTGAACAAGGGTTTCATCTGATCCAAACTCAGCCATGTTAACATTTGAAGAACTTGTGGCTTCAGCACTAACAAGATTAGTGGTACTGGGATTGGGGATCAAGAAAGAACCGGCAGTCTCCGCACACCGGCTTAGCCGGAGCGAAAGGGCTTTAGTGAACTGGTGGACTAATCTCTCAGTGGAATCACCAAAAGGCGAAGAGTTAGTAGATAAAATAGAGATGAGCCGATGAGCAGCAGAAAGATCAGACCGGGAAATCAACTCAGCACAACTTATGAGTAATTGGCGCATGTGTATTGACGGCGGTGTAAAACTCCGGTGCTGAATATGGTGGTGGTGGTGGTGGTGGTAGTGGATATTGGGCGGTGATGGTTCCTCCTCCTCATGGGATGATGAACCAAATGAACCCAACATTTCTTAGCCAAGCCCAAGAGTACTAACAAGTATAAAACATTCAAGAAAGGACAAAAAGTAGAAGTTGAGGAAGTGGAAGAGGGGGAGAGGAAATTTGTAGATTGGAACCTCAATTTTTTTTACTATATTTTGCATTTTTGATAATATATATAATGGATTTATATATATAATGCATACATTTTTTCAAAACTTATTTTCAATCACACATTTTTTAATAAAATAATATTTTTTATCACATCAGTAATGTTTCCTTACTTTTAACCATATATTTCACATCGATACTATTTAAAATACATTCTTTCCTCAATAATATCTATCAAACACACTCACACACACAAGGGCGGATACAAGGGGGGGGCTTGGCTGGGCTATAGCCCCCCCTCAAGGCCCAAAAAAAAATTTTTTTTTAAGGTTTTTTCGTTTTTGTTTTTTTTCTTAAAACAGTTTTTCATGTGTAAAATTTTTTTTTTTTCGCGTATTAGCCCGATTTGAAATTTTGTAGCCCGATCTTAGATCCAATCCTGGATCCGCCCCTGCACACACACACATATATTATATATATGAAAAGCAAACAAATTGTCTGTAGGCTTCTGTGTGAAACTAAGCTGTCAAGGGTTTGAAATTTTTATCCATTTATTTTGAAGAAAGATTAATTAGCATAATTAAAATAATAATCTTAGGTTTGAGAGTTAAGAACAAGTGTGTAAGGGACCATTTGTCATGACTTTTGAAAGCTAAAAATTGCATCTGCCATTTCGAATATGTTTGAATAATTTCTTAAAAGTGTTTCATTTGGCAAGTAGAACTTTAAGATGAAACTAGCTTATTTCTACAAAAATAGAACTCCTGCCAAACTAGCCCCAAGTATAATTAGAGATTCTAAGCAAACAGGAGTAGCCGACATATATTACAAGTCTGCTTCAAGAAATTAAAAAGGGAAAACTATTCATTTGACTTGTGAAAAAGGCAATATATAAGTACACGTAGATATAATTATGTATGCATGCATCATACATGATACACAAGGGTGGGAGTCGGATAGTATGGTCCAAATATTTCAAGAACTTAAATCACTAATTAAATTTCGAGTATTTTGTAAATAGAATCGTTCAGTTTCATTCCGATTTAGGAGGTTCTTTGCAAGTAAAAATGCACACCCTAAATGAACGTTGGATGATTCGATGAAGAACCTCTCATTAGACCTTGGGTATTTTGTAAATAGAACCATTCGATTTCATGTAAGTTTGAACTACATGTCACGTATGTACAAGCCTAGACTTTTACGAGATTTCTAATATGCTGTAAATAACGTATTATTTCATATTCATCTATGTCTGAAAAAAAAAATATCTTCTTGACCTTTGTATATTCTAAAGGTCCTGCTTGTACTCGATTTAATTATTTACAAGATAGAATAAGAAAATCCGAAACCTCTCATCGGATCAAGGTAGAGGCCTAAAAATCACGTCTAAATTATGACGGTGTTTTGATTTATCTTTTCCATAATTTTAATTTTTTAAAATAAATCTAAAAGATCCATCTAATAGTTTAATCTTCTAGAAAATCCGCACACGTCATCAATTTCCAATACATATACGTAGATAATCGGCAGTGAAATGTAAATAGATGGCCACTATCTATTCTATATAACAATTTAGTTGTTAAACGATCGTACAAAAGTACATGTTAGCATCTTTTTTTTTCTTCTTCTTCTTCATTTTTTTTTTTTCATCGGTAAATAATTAATTATATTGATCAAACTTGCATACACATACACCGGGCATACCCAGGCGAGAAATCAAACAACAATGGATCAAAATTCCAAAATACATCAATTATCGGCATACCCGGCCAAACAGAAGAGAAACAACTCAAATTTACAAAGCAAGTGCTAAAGATTCATAAAGAACTAAAACATGCAGATACAAAGTGAACATAACTTTGTATATGTGTGTTTTAATCTGTCTAACCACGCTCCCAATTTGTGTGTTGAGACCTTAAAAAAATTTATTATTCCTTGCCGTCAATAGATAGTACACGATGCTAGCAAGGGCAATCAGCGCGAGATGAGGGTGGAGTCGAGGAGTTATCAAGACAAAAAAGAGGTATAAGTAAGGACACGCAAAGCCTTAAATGTGTCGAAAGTTAGATACAACTATGTAATGTACATGGGCCAATCCCTCCGTCCGACCTTCTCTTAACGCTGACACACTTGCACCATTTTTCCTTATTTGTCTATTTGTTGGATTCTGCTGTTTCTGCCTTTTTCATTTCTGCCTTGGGTGGAAATTTATTGCCTAAACCCACGTGGGCTCAAGCTCAGCTACCTACTGTTCTGCCAAACAGACCTTTAGACTCCAACTCTATCCTCGTTAATCATTAATTTATTATACACAACGGATGTTGCTTGCATGCTTAGTTCTTGTTTGTTACTGATTATTTAAAACTCATTTTTTCTAAATTTATTTTCAATAATATAATTTTATTAGTAAACTCATTAACTTTTTTTTACTTTTTAACTATATATTCTCTAAAAAATCATTTTTCACAAAATTTATTCTTGGAAAATTTATCTCAAACAAGTATGGACTCATAAATATTCTAGTCGCATAGTAGTGGTGTCAAAAGAGTAAACTAGTATAAATTCATTTTTTTTTTGACGTAGGAACCTGCAACCGTTACCCACCAACGAAGCCTCGACCACCTCGAAAGGGGGGAGTCCCGACCACTGTAAGTGCGCATTACGTAAACCCCACTTCATGTGCAGTAGACTGCAAACCACACAAAGGAGATAAACCGTATTAGGCAAGCCTAGTACGACGGGTTCGACCGAGAAAATGTTGGTAGGGAATTCGAAATCGTGACCTTTGATCTCTGCGTTCACTTGCTCCAACAACTCAGTCACCCTCGAAGGGGTGGTATAAATTCATTTTGATATGCCCGTGAAAAGTCCATTGGAACAATGGAACATACAACTTAAGGTATGTTAAGACTTTCAAAAGTTAAAAGTTACTTCTGAGATTTAAAAAACGGTTTTTTTATTTTATTAATTTGGATATTTTTTAAAGTGTTTTGTCGGGCTAAAAAAGATTTTAAAGAAATTGATCTAATATGACTTTCTCATAAAATTATTCTATAAAAAGGAGAAACAGAATCAAATGTTATGTCAAACATACCCTTATACATTTGGCAAGAGAGGCAAATATAAGGGCATAAATATGGTCCTTGATGTGTACAAATCACAAGAAAACAACTTGGAATGTTATGCAATATATAAAAAGAGATCCTGTTTATTTCTTTACTCTATTTGAGGTACTCTGAAAGTTGATCGATACGGTTTTCCGATTTCTTTACAAAAAAGATTTCCTTGTGACCAACTCTTTTTGCAACGTCACAATTTTGCAGAATCCTTGGCGTCGTCCCATGCGAGATTTAACACGTTCGATCAATACGTTAAAACTCGGAGGAAAATAAATACAAAAGGTGATATATCTACTCAATTTATTAAGGTCAACATAAATAGGGTCCATTCAACTGCGTTTCAGCTTTTGCTTATGTTTCTTTAGGCTAACTTCTTTTAAAAGTTCCTGTAATCTGATGAAATACTTTCAAAAAATTATTCAACCATGTTTAAAAGTAACTTCTTCGTTTCAAAAGAAACTTTTGATTTTTCAAAAACCCAACTAAACGGGCTCGTAATATTTTTTACACCAAAAAATTACAAGCAGTCGTTAATTGAAAGCAGAGAATGTGTTGAAAATTCATAAGTTGATGACTGCGGGGCTCATTTTAGGGTGACACCAAAATTAAATGCAAATACTTTTACATTTCTGTGTTGCAGAAGTTCAGGAGAGGTCAATCAGGCCAAGTGTAAACTACTTCTTTGCAATGAATGAATAACAACCCTAATGTCAACAACTCAGATTATTATTATTATTATTATTTTTTCTTTTCAAAATAATACTTTTTAGCCCCCATTTGACTACCATTATAAAGAGAAATTGCAAAAAAAATGATGTTTTGAATAGTATTTTTTGGAAAATGGGTAATTAAAAAGTAAGAAATTTTTTTGAATTTGCGTGCAAAATATTTTATTGTTTGAATGTATAGTTGAAAATGAGTACGAAAAATAAAGAATTTTATTTTAATGAGAGTCAAAAAAGGAGCTTAATGGTTCTTCTTTGAAGTTAAATGTCCAATTTAACCTTATTAAAAAGTTATATCCACCTTTTTTATGTCAAGGAGAGTTCAACAAGATCAAAATGACACCATTTCTTTCAGGAAAACAAACAAATCCACCTTAATCCACCATATTATCATTCAGCTACTACTCTATATTCTAATATCATCCCCAAAATTCTGAAATTTCTGGGCATATGAACGTATGCAGTCGTCTGCTTTTCCACCGAGAACTCGAGAAGAAAGGCTTTATCTTACAACAAAAATGTACAATGCACTTTGATCCAATTTAAGCCTCATGGCCATTTCATGTTTTAGAAGACAATCTTGGAAGACTAAGTAGACTATTAACCCGGGCAATACCTTCAAGTGCTGACCATTCATCATCTGCAGTCGAAAGGCACTCAGCTAGACTCCTCTTAAACTGGCTAAGAGACCAACCCGGTGGCTTCTCCTCCACTTCATCAACAACAGGCACTATCTCACTGGACTCTTTGGTAATAACTGAATGTACAACTGCAGTAGCACGCGCTTCATCTGAGATCCCCATATCTTCTTCCCTAGAGGAAAGGACCTTCTTCGTTTCCTCTTTGTCGGCATTGGTGACATCATTTTGTGCTTCAGCCACATCAGTTACAGGCAATATCATACTTGACTCGTTGGTATTAGTACATGAATGTACAATGATGTCGGCAAGAGCTTCATTTGAGATCTCCATGCCCCCTGGTGTAGGGACAAGTATCTTCTTCATGTCCTCTTCGTGGGCCTTGGTGGCACCATTTTGTGCTTCTAACACATCAATTGAATATACATGTTTGAGGAAAATACATATAGCGGCACAGTCATCATTCTTGGATGCCGGGTACTTGAACTTCCATGCTCTAGTAGCGCAATTGACAAGAGCCCGCGTGGCTGTTCCACTGTCAGGAGCAGATGCCACAATGTCCACAGCTTCCTTATTGGAGAGGACATCCCAGACCTTGTAAACATGAGCTTTAGAAGACATCGAGTACGGTTTGACTTGCTATAGCATGCAACATTTACACCACAAGCATGCAGACAGAGATGGAGAGGGTGGGAGATGCTGAAGACCGAACTTTAAAAATTACAAGTGTCCCTCAAGTAGCTTAAGCTTTTAGATTAGGTAATTCAACATTATACCACAGCAGGCAAACGTCCTATGTTTGAGTCTCACGGCCACTCATTTATGAGAATTGTACACGTGTTAGGCCTTTGATTAAAAGATGAATCTGGCTTATATGTGATGTGTTGAATACTAAGTTTAAATAGATGTGTCATTTCTCTAATAACTTAAAACTTTTAAATGAGGCAATTGAACATGAGAGCTACGCCTGTATGATTAAGTATAAGATATGAGAGAATATTACCCCATCAGTGGCAAGGATGACAAACTCATCTCTCTCATTGATGTGGTGGTAATAGACATCTGGGATAGAAATTAAACCAAAATCCTTCAAACAAAAGTCCCCAAAGGCTCTGGCCATTGCCAAACCAGGTGAATTGCTAGTTGGCAACCATACACGTGTAACTTCCGGCTCATCTTTCAACGCAAAAACTCTTCCTTTAAATTTCCGGATCCGAGCAGCTTCTCCTGGAAACAGAAAACAAAAGAGGTCAAGAATTTCAGTTCTGCGTCGCTGAAAAACCAATTCACCTTCTCTTCCTTTATTGACAGGAAGCTAGAATGGGATTCATCTCACAGCCAATCATTAATCATCTTACTTGTCACTTTATCAGCAGTTTCAGTGTTTGCATGAGCATACACATTAAAGTGCCCAAGTGTGTGTGTCTGTGTTTTCAAGAGGATAGGGAAAAAAATATAAGGGAGATACTTGGAAGATTAGGTTTCAAGTCCACAGTCAACTGTACTGCCATCAAAGCATTGCCATCGTCTCTTGTTGCCAGTACTGCTCTGGAGTCGCCGATGTTTCCAATTATGAGATCCTGACCCTGAGCCATCGTCGCTTGTTGCGAGTTCTGCTCTGGAGTCGCCGATGTTTCCAATTATGAGATCCTGACCATGAAAAATCAAGTTCGCGTATTGGTAAGCCACATAAGATTGATTTATTTTCTTAAAATACACACTGTCGCACGTTTGTGCCTCTTCAATGATATATTTACAACAGGGAAATGTCACAATGACCATCTAATGTTCATGACGTTGGCAATGTAGACAAAGCTTAACGTGCCTTTTCTCATTGAGGAAAAACCATCTTAAAATTTTTCTATGCCAAGAAAGAAACTGCCATTTGGATTAAAAGGTACCCCCCCCCCCCCCCCCAACAGCAGTTGTACCACTACAGAAACTATTAATTGTATCATGCAACTTCAGTTCTTTATCCATTAACTTGAATGCCTTTAATATTGATTTCTTGAGTGGCATATGCATCTCGGGAAATTCGTCTTTCTCCTCAACTTCCACTGAGTCACCCCCATCATCATTCACAGAATTGTCAAAATGACTCATTCCCTCAGCATCTCCATTCTCGTGGACAGAAATTCGATGGCTATTGACTTTAGCACCCCCATCACCATCCACAAAATTGGAAAAATGACTCATTCCCTTAGCATCTCCATTCTCGTGGACAGAATTTTGATGGCCATTGAGTTCAACACCTCGATCATCATCCACAAAATTGTCAAAATGACTCATTCCATCAGTATCTCCATTCTCATGGACAGAATTTCTATGGCTATTGAGTTTAGCACCTCGATCATCATCCACAGAATTGTCAAAATGACTCTTTCGCTCAGCATCTCCATTCTCATGGCCAGAATTTTGATGGATATTGAGTTTAGCTTCCCACTCTGCACGCAACAAAAGTGGAAGAGCATCCCGAACTTTCCTAGAAACCATGTGACCGTAAGGACCATGACCATCAAACACCCCGCAAAAAGTTGCATTCATATCGCTTCTCGTACAGAAATTCTATCATGGAAACAATTCAAGTCATAAATGACCCCCCAAAAATACAAGAACAGCATCCATATTCTTTCAGTTTTCACTAATCATAACCTAAAACTATATTTTAACGCAATAATTTGATGAATCATCATAACCGTTAACTATATATGGATTTTGAAATTAATAGAATGGTAAATTAAAAATTATACAAATTACTTCAAATTAAACTTACCTCCCAGACGATCATGGAGTCTTGATTTGTTCCTTTCTGGCCTTGCTGAGTGTACAAGCTAGCGATGCGGCTCGTTCCATTTGCAAAAAGCCTCCCCGGAATTTGAGTCTCCTCAACCACCGCCACTGAAGCTGCAGCAGCGCCACCACCGCCATCTCCAGTCAACTTGCTGAAGACACAGGAGCTACTCTTCTTCGACTTCAAATGCAAGTTTCTACCTTGATCCCGGCCTTTTTTGGCACCAATCGTGGAATAACACATACCCATTTACACCAGTATTTTCTTCAGTTTTTATCTTACCTCAAACCCCCCCAAAAAAAAAAAAAGGAAAACATTAAACTGATAGCCGGAACATAATATAGCTGCTAAAATTAAAAAAAAAAAATCAAGAAAATAGGAAATGCCGAAGGGAAAAGAACCAGAAGAATGAACTGGCAATTTGGCTTTGGCTTTTATGAATTTTTTTCCGTAATTTATTCCGCATAGGATGCTGTTGAATCAAACAAAGAAAGATAAACTATGCATCGTGTCTTATTCTTGTTATTTTTAGCAGATGTTGAGTTCTGCAGTTGCATTTCCTATGCTACAAACTTAGTTCTAATCAATTTAAAAAAATTGTCATTGCCGTTCTAAATATAATTATTGCTTTTTTCCACTTTTGGTAGTTTACGTGGATCCAATATTTATCATTTCAATTGCAATTAGAAGGGAAAAACCATCCATCATTTTACATTTTGGACAAGTGTTTATCCATCGAGTAATTTATTTGTGTTCATGTTAATTTTGAAATAAAATATTAATTTATTTTTCGATGAATTGTTTGTTTTAATTTGAGCTTGCATTTTGTTCACGAGTCGATTTGATATTATAAATTAAGTGCTTAAATGGTTAAGAACGAAAAGATTCGATTTATGGTTCGATCGAAGTTTTATTGTTCACGATCGATAAATAAAGACGAATAATTTATTTTGCTATTAATTGTCCTACATTTTTAATATGATAAAAATATATATATATTGAGCCCTCGATTGATCCACATTATTACCTCATTAAATTATAATTCATTTTTTCATCTCTTCTTATCAATTACACATTTTCCAATAAAATAATATTACACGCAAATTCAAAAAAATTTCATTCTTTTTTAACAACACATTTTTCAAAAAATTACCATTATTCTCATTATAATATGAAATAATAGGGCCAAATGGGGTATGAGTGTACATCTTGAGATGTATTGGATTAGATCATGTAAAATTTAATTTGTGACATTGACCATTCAAATTTACTTTCATTTGCTTGTTATTCGTACTACCTTAATTTTGAGCGGGTAATGAATTTCTATTACTAACTTGAAATTCTTTGAGGTATTAATAAATGAGATCTAATCAATAGTCGATATCTTGATGCCTTGAAAATGTTCTTGTGGACTTCCATTAGAGGCGTTAAATGGGACGAATCCAGCCATTCGATTCGACTAACATCGGCCACGTAGTGAACTCGCTCAACAAAAGTGTGATATTATATTAAAATTATATATTTCATTCAATTTGATCAGCACTTGATGAGCCCGCTTGCATGTGAATCGATAAGCTCGGGATCTAGCCAATGAACGACTTAGGGCAAATTGTTGCTCAACTCGTTACTAGGACGAATCGAGCTTACGAGTGACTCGTCTCACTTAGTACCCCTAACTTCCACCCACTAGAAAAGTGCAGAAACAAGACAATGAGGGGTTGTTCTCTTCGAGTTTCAATTTTGAATTTTGTATTTTGAGTGTCCATTTTAAAATTGTTGAAAATGCGTTCTTTTCGTCATTTTGAAAAATTGTTTACAAAAATAAAAAAATGAAGTTTTGGCTTGATTTTAACTGAAAACTGCCAAAATGACTTTTTTGACGTTTTCCATTTTTTTTGTCAATTTTAAACTCGTTTTTGAAAATTCGTTTCTAATAGATAAGTAAACGTATTTTCAGTGTTTTCGAAAACTAAAAACTGAAATTGATCTGAAAACAGCAAAGAGAACATGCCCTAAGTTTTTCTTTCATTCTTTTTGTTCAGCATGACAATGTATACGCATTTACAAATATTTTCCTTCAGTTAAAAACTCGATAGAATAAACAAATTTGATAAGTCAAGTCTTCCAAATAAACAAATAAATCAAATACAGAACAACAATTTACAATTTTACACAAGGTTAATCAAGCTAACATGGTGACCTGAGAAAAACTTGCCGTGGACGATGTTAAATCCAAGTGTTCAGAGCCGGAAGATGTGTAACTCGAAGTGGTGTGATTGATATCGGGCTTGGTTTTAGGAGTGGGTCTACCTTTCATGTCCATGATGTCAGAGATTAATCCCGGTCTTGTTATCATATTTTTATCAACATTCTTTTCACCTCTCAGCAATTGGATGACGGTTGACATGGAGGGTCGTAGCTTTGGAGATTCTTGAGCACAAAGTAGACCGATTTTCAAGAATCTGCAAGCTTGTTCAGCATCAAAATCTCCATTCAATGACGTGTCTACCAGTGTTACCAGCTCCCTTCTGTTGTAGAGTCGCCACATCTTCAGTAAAGTTTTAACAGTCATTTAATAGGAACACAGTGCTGAGAATTAGAAATCCTAATGCTATAGCATCAAGAGCAATAAAAATAAATAAAAATATAGAGACACAAGAACATGCAAAATTTATAAAGGTTCGCCTCAATGCGAGACTACATCATCTTCTAATGTTGCAGTAATTCACTATGATGAAAATAAGTTTACAAAAGAAAAATGCACATCCTATTTATTATTTTCTCTAACCTTATCTCCCTCTCTCTCTCTCTCTCTTTTAGATGATCCAAAACTCTAATGACGGCTCCCTATTTATAAGAAAAATAGGGGCAAAACCGAAATTACGAGTATGAAATTCCTGAACTATCATCAGTAAAATTACAAGGTAGATCCGGGTCAGCACAACGGCAATAATAAGGTTCCACAACTCAGCAGTAAGCCATCATTGTGTAGTTTTTTTAATTACGTCCATCTTTAAGATATCAATCATTTTTAAAGTTCAATTAGCCAATGGAAAAATTCTAGGCCAGGTGAGCAGAGAACGAGATGAATAAAAAATCAATGAAGTCTCAAATCATATGCAGCTCAAATTGATTAATTACCATCTAAGAGGCAATCAAAAGTAAGCCTCAAGCAATCTTTGAAAGAAGTGAACGATGTCCAATGCCTCAAAGAATAAACCAGCAGTTACAAGTTCACGTTATCAGTTTGGTAATTCTGATGTTTGTAAACCTCAACGGCTCAACCAGAACTAGAATACTACACATACAAGTTTAGTGGTTATGAAATTGCAGCTTATTACTACCACAACCACAAAAGTGCATCTAACTTAATACTGTGCACTCAAGTTACCTTGACTTCATTTTGGTGACCTCGTCCACCTTCAAATATATATTATTAGTTTTATTAATTTACTTAATTCTTTACCTGTTTATTCCTTTAGATATTTGTGCATGTTTAATTCTTTTTTTTTTTTTTTTTTTTCCGGTAGAGGTGGGGAATGTCAGAAAAGCTAACAATAAACTTGGCCACTGTATTTTCGTTCTTATTCGAGCTTTTGCCTCCAATCATAAATTGGAAATTCTTTCCAATAGACCCCACCAGACACACAAACATGCAAAGCAAACATAAACCATGAAAGCAGTTTCAAAATACTACATACCCTTTCAAGAATATACTGTTCATCAGTGGGTAATCGCATGTTTGTGTTGCATCTCCCAGTGACTATTTCAATAATAAGAACACCGAAACTGTAAATATCAGCCTTGCTTGTCAGCTTGCCTACAATCGCATACTCTGGTGCCACATAACCTCTGCAACAACAGATAGATATTCACAGTATATGTTATATTTGGGATTTCATCACATGAATAAAGAGTAACCATCATATCATATTATTCATCATCAACAAAGTAACTACTATCAAATCACAATCTATCAAAAGCATCAGAAATAACAGAGGAGAAACGATTGAAATCCAAATCTAGAAGGCAGTATGTTTTCCAATAAAATCCTTAATGAACTCCAAATTTATGATTAAAAGGGGAAAATGCAAGCTTTGAACAGTTCAAGAAGATTTTGCAACTTACAAAGTTCCTGCAACACGTGTACTGACATGAGTCATTTCAGGAGGCATGAGCTTTGCAAGACCGAAATCTGAAATTTTAGGAGTTAAATCTTTGTCGAGAAGAATATTGCTTGCTTTGATATCGCGGTGGACAATGTGAGGTTTCATTTCCTCGTGAAGATAGGCGAGTCCCTTTGCAACTCCAATGCAAATTTTAACCCTTGTTTGCCAGCTAAACTGGATTCGGCTGTGACCATTGCCTAAAGCAGGATGTCAAAAGATCGTCGGATAATTTCATTTTGACAATAACATTTAAATGAAATTCTCTCAACATAGTGAGAAACAATCATCGAAACAAACTTTTGAAGTGAGACCAGAATGTATATTTCACACGAGGCATCTTAATTCTGGTGTCTATTATCTGGGAGACACACAAAAGACAACATTTGTTCCTGTTTGGCTAATTTTGAAACATATACTTATAAAGTAAATAAGTATAATTTCAAACAAATATTCTTTTTGTAGGTCAAAGTTGGAAAAAAGTTAGTGTGAAAGTAACCTCTACGTAGCTGTCAAAATAAGTAACTAAATTACTTTTAAGCAAAGAAAAGCAACCTATCCAAACATGTTGGAAACAGAAAGTTACTTAGGTAACTTTAAGTAACTTATTTCTGATGTCCTGAATTGGGTGAGCAAGACTTTTATTTTTTTTTGGTGGGGGGGGGGGACTAGAGCAATGTCTTAGCCAAACATGCATGCTCAACATTTACTTTATCTCATATTTGCTCTCAGCACAAGCATTGGGGGAACTTTTTGGACACCGTTTATGTATCAACAAAAATTAGAACAGCCAGTCACAAAAGTTAATTCAATAAAAAACAGGAAAGTAGGGATACCAAGAAGTGTTTGTGCTAGGTTATTATTCTCGAGATAGTTGTAAACAAGAATTCTTTGATTGCCTTCCACACAACAACCATAGAGCTTAACTAAATTTTCGTGCTCTACATCCGAGATCACTTGAATCTCTGTCAAAAATTCTTTTACGCCTTGACTTGATTCTGAAGAGAGAACTTTTATTGCCGCCATCTGCCCAGTCTTAAGTTTTCCCTACTTATGCAAGAATTTTTTTTTTGTTAAGAATCA